CATTTTCTTGAGAGGATATCTGAAAGACGTGATTTCAATTTTTGAACAGTAGAATATATTTAGAATAATAGTTGGACCAACCTGAAGTATTGAAAAAATATCCAGAGAAGGTTTTGGAGATCTCTGTTGATCTTAAAAATATTTTCTGAGAAACCTGGTTTTAAAAAAGAATATCTAAGGGACGTGAATTGAATTATTGGACTGTTTGAGATATTTAGAATGGTACCTGATGAAGAATTGAAAAAGTGTCCAGAGAACTTTATGGAAATCTTGAAACACATGAAGACCTCTGGAATAATTTCTGAGCTGCCTTGTATTATATGAGAGAATATCTAAGAGATGTGATTTGGCTTGTTGAATACTTGGATATTTTCAGAATTATACCTGATCAACCTGAAGTCTTGCAAAAGTAATCAGAGGTTATCATAGACAGCCAGACGTTTTTTTTCTTTTGATTCGTTTTCCGTGCTGAGTACCAATGCTACCGACGCCAGGGAGGCAGCTCTTACACCTGAACCCTACCTATCGATCCATCAACTCATAGACCGAGAACCAACGGCTTTGCTTCCCTGATCCTGGGTGATCAGAGGCGTGATCCCTCAGGAAATCCCGACGGCGCCGACTTTGATTGAGCCCAGAGGCAGTCACGCTTACCACTACACCACCGACGCCACTTGACCAGATGGCCTTCAACTTATGAACAACCTGGTATCACGAGAGAACATCTAATAACCGTGATTTGAATTGTTGGATAATTGACGATCTTTAGAATAATACCTGATCAACCTGAAGTCAGTATCACAGTCAAAGCAGTGTCATGCGCAAGAGATTTGTAGTTCCCTCTTTCTCTCTCTTCAGTTTTGTCGCATCTCGAATTCTCATAATGTCTGTGTGCTGCACTATTTTGTTGGCACAGCATATTTCCGGATGTATGCGTTTCATGAGAACAAGTTTTATGTGACGACGCGTGAGGCGAAGCTCATGCGCTTTTCTCAATGAGACGTCGCTAAGCGACATCTCAATATGATATTGAAATAACAAACTCAACCGGACAACCAACTCGTGAAACGATTTTTAATTTGCTGAATATAAAAACACATCGACATTAATTAACAAAATAATTTTGTACACAGTTTTCATGCAGGGGAAATGGATGTTATGTCGGCCTAAATGCCCCAAACTTGAGCCCATACATAAATTCAGCAATCGACTAAATTTTCAATAGTGACCCAAACTATCCAGTTCCCTATACGTTAAATATAACCACTTTTATCAAATGTAATTCATCGTTTGAGCAAATAATTCAGTACAGATACGCCACTTTCAAAAAGTCGTGAAACATAGTTCTCTTTTCATTACATAATTGGAATTGCGATTTTTAATTATGTCTTTTAAAAGTAATGTGAAAAACGGGTGCTTTGAAAACAGCCCTCTGGGTATTAGAAATTACGAGCAAAATTATCAATTCAATGCTACATAGTGACCTGAAAACGACCCTCTTAGTAAGCGGAATCACCAGCAAAAAGGATCAATTCCTGAAAGTAGACTTAGAGATCCGCGGATATATTGGATGCAATGATGAGAATAGAGTTAATATGCCATCACCATATACATTATGCTTCCAGATGGCCACAAAATGGTCTTCTGGATATCTGGAATCACTGAGAAAATGGTAAATTTCTGAAAGGAGGCATGGAAATCCGAGATTTCTTCTAAACTACATACAATCATGAGCATAGAGGAAAAATAACCCATCAACATATTGATTTTGCATCAATGTGACCAGAAAACGTTCATCTGAGTATCTGGAATTAGTGTGAAAATGATTATTTTCTAAAAGTTTACCATCAGGTTGCTAGAAAACAGTTCTCCAGATTGCTGTCTCCGTGTCTAGTCATATAAGTATTGAAGAAGTTTGCAAGTAGTAAACGAAATACGTGTCTGTTATAGTTTTTGTAAAAATTATAGTGAAAGTAGATATTGAAAGTGAAAAGTGAATTAGTGAAAGTGAAAGTGATGCAATATTAGTAGAATTAAAAGTAAAACAATATTTTAAGTAATATAATTATTCTACTTAAACTCTCATCAATCAATTTAGATCGGAATTCTAATCAGAACTTTTATGGAGTTCCATTGATATTCTCCTTAAATTTTTCTTACGTTTAACTGTAATCCTTCAAAGCATTTCCTAGATATTCTCTGAAAATTTCTATGGAATTCAAAACAGTACACTCTTCACAACTCGATGTCCACTAACTTGTAAACTAACACAGTAAAAATGGATTTCATGGATATTGTGAGAGTGATTTTGTATGAGATTGTTTTTCTTTAACTCGATGGTCCCTTCAATATCGAGTTATAGAGAGTTCACTGTTAATCAGAATCGTTTCCGATGCTTCCAGACAATTCTTGAAACTCTTTTCAGAACTCGCTAGAAGTTCTTCTTTGAATTGCCTTAAAACCTCTTGAATATTTCCAGCCCAAACCGCAACAAAGATGTTAGTTTTGTATCGACCGTTTACAATTGGATTTTTTTTTTCTTAAGGGTAACTTTTAAAAAGGGCGAATTGAAAAATTGGATTATATTTTTTCACCAAGTCATTACATGAAAATGAATGCAATTTAATTTCTTAGAGAAAAAATACAATGACTCAAAAAACTCAGTAAAAACCCGGCTTCGGTTATTATATTAAAAAAAAAAAGTAAGCTGAAGTAATGCCCTTAAATATGGGGAAGAGTGTTAGCTGGTTACTTGCTTCTAAAAAAAAACATTTTTGTATAGATTTTGTATGGATATTAATTTCAAGTGTTTTAAACCTCAACCCAAATCAAAGAAGTGCAGTTTAGAAACAAGAACCTTGTCAGATGTTTTTTGAAACAAGCTACCAGCTTACACTATTCACCAAATTTTTGGGCACTTCTTCAGTTTTCTCATAAAAAAAAATATATAAAAATTTAGGACCGGTATTTTGATAAAATCATCGTTTTATCTTTTTTTTTAAACATACATTTACAAGTTTTTACTTTCAGGTTACTTTTTTATTAAATAAAATTCAAATATCTACATTTTTTCTGAGATATCGTTTTGATCAGATTTATCAATTTATCCATTTTTTGAATACGTATTTTTCAAAAGTTTCTCTGAGCACGAGCATGAGCATGAATGACCGCCCATAAATACAACTCTGTTATTGCCAGATCAGCTGTAATTACTCAGAGAACCAATAGAGGTTGATTGCGACTAGCATTCATTCTCAATGTGTAAATACTGGTGATCTAAAACTAGGCAATACCTGCACCGGCCACGTCCACATGCTGGTCAAGAAAGAAATTATTAGGAATATGTTGACGTAATAATCGCTTTAATGAAAGCCGAAAACACCTCTGCACTTCGTCGAGAAAGCACTGAGATGTTGGATAAAGGGTTGGGATTGCAGCAGGATTTAGTTTTGGTAAACGATATCCTAACGGCTCAATAGCGCGAATGAGCCCACGGTCTTCTATTCAGTAAGCAAAATCGGTCACCGCTAGGTCATCGAGCTTCTTATATCACAAAACAATTACGATCAAGTTTCCGATCAATTTGTTGTTACTATGTTTCGATCCTGGCGATGACCTTACCGACGACGACAGCAATTGCTCTTGATAAGAATTTGATATGGATTTCAAATTTTACGTCTTTTACGTACCCGTCCTTTTAACCGTCCTTAATTACGGTCACTAGTGTAAGGTGCACGATCTTCCGATCAGTAAGCAAAATAAGTCACTCTAAAGCCACCGTGCCCCTTACATTCAACAAGCCGTGACTGACGATCGTTTATTGTTGATTGCAATAAGCTTTTACGATGAAATGAAATCCCCGAAAGTAGTTAACAATTTCTTCCGAACCAGATCAGGCGTACGTCACATTTGTCCAAATATACGTACATATTACTTTTCCAAATCGTTCCACCGATTTCTATAATAACGATTTGCCTGAGGTAAATCGTGGCCTGAGGCAAATCGAGGCCTGGATAGATTAACTCAGTAACACAACGAGGCTTGGGTTTTAACCCATGATCTTCAACTCAATAAGCAAAAACGGTTGCTATTCAAATGAAGCGTCGTCTCCGAAAGCAGCCAACAATGTCTTATAAACTGGATCACGCATACACCCTTTCCAATGTTCATGGTTTAAACAATTCATGTTTTTGTTATGCTCTCGGAAGTCAATGATGGCGGTTTATTCTGTTGTCGGTGTTCACGCACATAAGAGCGATGGTAACCGCCGGTGTCTCACGCACTTAATTCCAACACGCAGTGATATCGTCACTATAAATCACCTTTAATCGCGGTTAGAGATACTTTTATTTGGCTTATAATACAACGTTTATTTGCCGTCGGCCGATCGCGGGGATGGTTTATTTACTACTAACAGTACTACCTACTCTTCCTGATCATCTGTTTTTCCGCATGTAGTAGGAAAGATACACGACCACCGTTCAACCGTACGCTAAAGCCTTTCCTATTCATTCTACACAGCTGGTTGTATGATGCACAATAGCGTACGGGAGAGAAAATTGAGAGTGAGTGATCGCGTATTAGGGTGGCTCTCACAACATAAATGCAAGTTATAATTATACGTTTGGCGCGATCAGTCGGAGAGCTTGAGATTAAACCCATGATATTCTGCTCACTTAGTAAAAACGATCCCTTCAGGGTAAAAAACCACAACACTCCACGAAAAATTATGATTAAGTATTCGCTTGGTATATAATGAACAACAGATACACAGAGATTCCTGTCGATTAGAACGTAATAGATTTGGTTTTCTGTGTGTTTGTCAGGTGATCTCCAGGTGGCTTTGTGAATATCCTTGCGGGGGAAAAAAGAACTTCGGACTACCATACCACGGGAGGCTGAAAAGTTCACACATCGTTGGCCGTTGTCGTTCGATATGGCATGCAGGCTGTTTGGCCAGATTGCCGGTCAATACATTGCCTCCCGTCCTACCTGAGCGTTCATGTGTCGCCGATGACGATTTTGACGTCCCGTTGCGAACAGCCGGCGTACACCCGCTCCAGCTGCGCATAGAACGCTTCTTTCTCGTCGTGGGGTCTCACTTCGTGTGGGCAGTGCACGTTGATGATGCTGTAGTTGAAGAAACGGCCCTTAATCCTCAACTTGCACATCCTCATGTTGATCGGCTGTCAACCAATCACACGTTGGCGCATCTTACCCAGCACTACAAACCCGGTTCCCATCTGGAGCCACAGCTCTGGTAGAAAGCAGCTGCTCGATTCCCGCTTTTCCATACCTTTTGTCCGGTCCAGCAAAGTTCCTGCAGTGCTACGACTTCGAAGTTGCGTGGTTGAAGTTCGTCATAAATTAATATATCACAGCCCGGGAAGCCGAGCGATTTTCAGTTCCATGTCCCGAGTTTCCAATCGTTGTCCTAATTTCGTCGCGTAGGTCTGTGCCGATTGCTCCTATCCGTATTCCTTTCTTCAGTATTTGCAATTTTATGTTTTTTTTTTCCAGTGCGGTTTGTTGGGCCTGCCCCAACCCCCTGTCTCGCTGGGGGGCCATCGTGCACAGCTCGATGCTGGCACTAGGATGGTGATCAGCCGCTCCTAACAACGATAATAGACGCCGTTTTGAGCCGCACCTCCTGGTGAACAGACGCTCGGGTTTGGAAAAGCATTTCCTCTATCACCGTACTATAGTTACAGCGCCAGTGTTCGCGTCGCACCTCTTCACTTTGCTATCTTATGACTCGGGGAGGCGTGAAGTGGGAAGTTGTGAGGACCAGAGTTAGGTATTCCGCTCCTTCCAGGTTGTCAACTCACCATTTTGTAGCCCCAACGTGGAGGATACCACACGATAAAAATGAAGAAGAAAAACAACATCGTTGAATCCATGAGTGATTCAAGGCGGGGAGTATGTTCACGCCGAACGTGAACTGCTTAAGGTGATTCTTATTTTGACCACCATGGGCCCCCACCATAGCCCATAGTGCACTTGAGATTCCACTGTTATAGTAACATCTATACCTAAAAAGCTGATAGCAGTCGATGCTGCAAATCAATAGTTTTTTGATTATTTTGAGCTTCTCCACTATTCTTCACTAAACACCAGATCTCATATGATCATACGGGGCAGACTGGAGACTGTTGTCCTATCTATACCTACAGGATCGATGGAAATATGTACAGCTGGTCAATCGTATACAAGGACAGTATAGGAGATAGTGTACACCTCCAACCGCTCTCTCTCTCTCACCCCCCTCTTGTAACGGGGTTACAAAAATGTATTTACAATGATATAAATATAATTTAAATTTAAATTTAAATGTACAGAATTACAATGGGACAAGTCCCCTCGAGCACGTTGGTAGCGAGTAGCGACACGCTAAAAAAAATTCATGACGTTCATATGGGGTTACATTCAACCAATAAAAAACGAACACGTCCTCGCGGTAGAATGTACAATAGAACCCAAAAGGGGTTTGGGAAAAAAGTTCGTAGCATCGTTCTCAGTCCGGTTTGATCATTTCGATAGAAAGGGTGTAAGTGGATACAGAAAAAATACGTGGTGAGAAAAAAACAATCAATTGTATTGAACAAAATTGAAACGATTAAGTGAGTTGAAATAACCTGATATCAATTTTACAAAACCTAAAAATTGTAATAATTTTTCTAGTCAGAAATTAAAGGCAAGAAATTATTGTGAACAATTAAATGCCAAAGATACCTCTGCGAGTAGTGCAAAACGTTTATCAGGTAATTCTTTTGGTACAATTTCCACCAAGTGTTAGATTTTAAAGTACATTCGTCGTTTGAAGAAACGAAGGTCGCCGGTTAGGGCATAACCTGGTTTGCCGCCGGAAGTCACCACGTGCGAGATCCCACCCTAGAAAGCCGGAGAGTACCGTCAGGGAACGGTCACGTCGTATACCCGTCATTTCCATACGACCGCCGTGAGAGAAGATCGTTACATCCCCGGAAGCACGCCATCGGTACGGAAAATTGCGGTTCCCCTGTACTCCACCATTCGGTCCGTCATACTACCGTAGGATACTGAAGGTATCCAGTGACGTCACGCTTTCAATCCGTGCTTCCCTTCTCGAAAACGGCATACGAGGACCTAGTAAACGTCCTTATACACCGCCGAGAATATTAGCGGTCGAGAAAACGGTCACCTGCTGTACTTCGACCGTCAAGCACCGCCCGCTGCCAGCATAAAGCACACGGGGAGGCGAGTTCATCGCATCTATCGCATCGATACTTCTCAACATAGTGTTCATCGTCTCGTCGCATCGTACCGGTACGCAACGCTACACCTCCGGAGTCATCGAGTGTCACCAGCCACATACGGTTCATCAGCCGCCGGAAAAACCCGTTCATTCAGGTGATGTACTAGATTATAAGACAATAAACGAAGAGGAAATTAATCCAATTGGACTAGACGTGTTAGGCTGAGAAGTATAAACGCAGGCGAACGTATTATGCGTCTTGACTAGACTGATCGAGAATATATGCTATAAAATTTTAAACTTTATGGGGCTGTCGTATTACTCGTATTTAATGATTTCAGTTAGAATTTTGGACTAGTTTGTTGGATATTTGGTTGCACGTGTTCTAGGTGTTCGGAAGTGATCCTACCAGCAGTCTCATCGGGCATTCGTCACATCGCGGCTTTGCGACAGCTTTGCTGTCTGGCGCGGAAGCAAGGTTCGTTTTTGTTGAGCTTCCACGCTTGTTACATTGGCGCCCAACCAACGGGTTTACGACCTTCTTTCTATAGCCTTTTTCTCTATGGAACGCACACATATGCAGTATTGGTTTGTTTACAATCTTTTGCTGCCAGCTGCTCTAACAATTTCAGTCGAAAGAATTGTCAAAAACTGTTTTGAAACGCTTTTACTAAGCTCCAATCTTCTCTAGTGAGAGCGAGTATTGTCGGTAACCAGTTTTTCTTCGGCAACCGTTCCATTTGAACTGCATGTAAATCTGCTGTTCTATTATCGGCAACTCGAAATCAGCTACAATTTGTAGTGCGTGTGTTTCATTTCAAGAAAACCCTGCTAGATTGCTTTTTCTCAGTGGTAAAAATATAGTCAAATTGAAGCTGAAAGCATAAAGAATCGTTTGCATGCATTCAGCGAAGTGTTTTCGTAAGAAAATCCAGTGAAAATAGTGTTTCAATTTGGGTTGCCGAAAATAGTCTGTCATGCCGAAGCCGTCATTTCCCCTATTAGATGAAATCGAAACAGTAGTTGAGGTATTTGGGTCAGAACGGGACCAAATTCCACGAGAAGTATCTAGAACAGAAAGTAGGAATAGCGCGGGTCAAAGTAGATTTGAAAATGTAGCGGGAAGAAAGAAAAGCTTGGTACAAAGAATAACGCAGTATGAATTTCCCCCGGACAAAAGAGTTCCGAGGTCCACAGAAGTTTACAATCAAAGTTCGAGACACTCATTGAATCCAGATGCCAGAGTATTCAACCCAGAGCTAGCAGGAAACTCAAGGGAGCGATTACACTAGTTTACAGCATTTTTGAACTCGGTAAGGTGATGATCATTTCCAATGCAAAATCCTACGCTGAATTCAATGCCAGAAAAAATTAAAGTAGAGCTATTTTTGAGATATACAAAAATTTTGATTTTTTGTATTTTGGGCAAAAGTACGATTACTAAAATTTCAATATCTTTAGTACTAGTGCACCAATTTTAAATCTTTTTTTTTATGAAAATGAAGCTAAATAAATTTGCTATCGTTCACTAAAATATTATGTCTTAATTAAAAATTTAAGTTTGAGGTCATTTAAAAATTTACAGCATTTTTTTTTTTATTTTTCCTGCGAATTTTCCATAAAAAATCTTGTTTTAATCAACATTTTTAATGGGATAAAAAGATTAAAAAATCATTCCATAATTTATTCTTAAAGTCCATTCAAAACCGGAGAAAATAAGCCTTTAATGGATGAAATCGGTTGGAAATTGTCGAAGTTATGAGCATTTTTGTAAAACACTTAAAAATGTTGCTGAAATACAACAGCTTTAGAGTTCCTTTTCTAGGTGTCGTTGTAAGCATCCAAATCGCATGTAAAGTTTTCATGGGACATTCTTTTCTCTACATATCAATTTGATTAAGGCATATCAGGATTTAAAACCGAGTTGATACAAAAGAAATTTATTTAGGTTTTATTAAAAATGATTGAGAATCGAATGACTTTGTCTTCGATGTTTTGAACTTGTTTCTCGAATCAGAAACCAACAATAGTCACCCATCATTGCTTCATCCCAAAACCCTTGGTAACGACGTTCCATCATCTTCATTTGTTGGTGAAAACGTTCGCCGTGCTCATCACTCTCGTAATTATATGTAACATACACAATATTTTTGATTTATACCTATTTTCTCATAATTTTTGAGCAATTCATCGACGGCTTCCTCATAATCTGGGCTTCTGAAATTTCCTAAAAAGGTTGTGACAACACGCTGGAACGATTTCCACGCTTCTTCCTCATCTGGTGTCAAAACTGTATTGAATGCGGAATCATTGAGCAGTTTTTTGATCTGTGGGCCAACAAATACACCTTCCTTTATCTTTGCGTCAGATAAATTTGGAAATACTGATTTCAAGTACTGGAATGCTGGCCCTTCTTTTTGCAACGCATTGACGAAATTTATGAATAGCCCAAGTTTTATATGTAGTGGTGGAAGTATTATGCGTTCTTTTACCACAAGAGGATCATTTTTAACGTTGTCTTTACCAATTGTGAAATTATCACGTTTTGGCCAATCTTTTCGGACGTAGTGTTTTTTACGAGCTCGACTGTCCCATTTACACAAAAAACACATATATTTTGTGTATCCCTGTTGCAATCCAGTCAACATGGCAATCACTTTAAGATCGGAACAAATTTTCCAATTGTGTTGATTGTAATTTATCAAATTGAGCAATAGAGCCATTGATTCATACGTTTCCTTCATATTAACGGCATGAGCTAATGGAATAGAAGGTTTCTCATTCCCCTGATGCAGTAAAACGGCTTTCAAGCTCAACTTGCTGCTATCGATGAATAAACGCCATTCAGCTGGATCATATGGCTCACCAAACTCTTCAAACAAGCCGTTTACGTCATGGCAAAAACATGCCTTGTCCTTTGTAGAATAATATTTGTCAAATTTCTTGTGACGA